TGGCAAGATAAGAAAAAGTACGAGGGAGATGGATATTATTCCATCTCGCTTTCTTATAGCCGCCAATGCCATCTACACTCCGTCAGAAAGGGTCGTGTCGGAAAAATCTTACACTTTTCCTCGCCTAACTCCCATCCACCAAATTCGTACCGTCTAATAAGGAACTTCGTTTCAAAAGTGATTCTTCCTTCACCAGTTTCAATACGATTCATAATTATGTAAATATGAAATGAAAGCTGTTGTTGCATAATAAATATTCCCTACCTAACCTTGACCCTTCAGTCCTGGGCCACTTGCATCCATCGCCTTCCTGTATGTCTTAACAGGTCATCACCCTATTCAGTGCGGGGTCCCCTTACACCTCGCTTACTAGCACGAGGCTGCCACATAAATCACGTAAAAGCGTATATTTCTCCGGCCACGGGGTCTATCGGCGACCCGGGGATTAAATACCTGCCAACTGATTTTAGTTGGTCCGGTTCTTCTGCCAAATCGTAACATGAGACTAAGATAACACATGGCTATGTGCCAAGAATTTTTAAGATTTTTTGTTTTCTATTGGGTCCCTAAAAAGTAAAAACGGCAGAAGGTTACACATGAAACTTTGCAAAATAAATTATCAACTAAAGTAACATCCTTTCTTTTATAAAGCTGAAGTAACAAACGAACTAAAAGTCCACCTGGTGGTAAGTGGTAACTGGTGGTAAGCAACTTCAAACAAAGAAGGCTTTAGATGAGTTGTCTGTCACGTTTGTGGACTAAGAAGGAATGACGCAGCCTGTCTGTAATTACACTGGCCCTTTATAACGCTTTGGACCGGAACACAGCAGTGCACGCATTGCTAATTGTTATTCGGCGCCAGAAATAGGTAAGATGTATACCTATGAATGACATACCTAGGCGGAATCCTTGAAAATGAGTCTTACTACATAATAAAAACCTTCCTTTCCTTTCACATGCGTCGTCAACAATTTTAAGATATAAACTTTTAAAACTCATATGTATATTTGTTTTAAATGTTTTTTATAAAGTATAAATATAAATTGGTAAATCCAATTGGGCATGCCTTAAGCGCATTAAAAAAATTACGTATTACATGATTATACATAATTTTTTAAAGTAGTTTTAATACATTTCGACAGCACTATCGGCTTCAACGCCCTCGAAAACCATGAAAATGACACCCATGATGAAAAAATTGGTACCTACTTCAGCCGCCATCTTCGATTTACATTTCGGCAGCACTATCGGCTTCAACACCCTCAAAACTCGTGAAAATGACACCCATGATGAAAAAATTGGTACATAATTCAGCCGCCATCTTGGATTTACATTTCGACAACCCTATCGGTTTCAACATCCTCGAAAACCATGAAAATGTCACCCATGACAATAAAATTTATACTACTTATTTTTAGTACGTACTACGTACTACTATTATTTATTCTGTGCTTTTAAAATATTGTAATCAAAAAATCTCTCATTATTATTATAATCAAGTATTTAAGAAATTTGGTTATTCGAATATTGTGTATTTGTACAGCAATCTTTTTGAGCCGCTGCAAACAACCGAAACAAAGTCCTCTCACGACGGCGGCTTCCGCCTATTTACAGAAATAATTTACATACAAGGCTACCAAATCAACGAAAATTTCGCCATTTTGAAGCCGAAAAAAATTAATTATAAAACAAAACAAAATTACACTGCCATTTACATTCAGTGGCTTCCCACATGATAGATGAAGAGATTAAAAAATAGATTGAGTTAAACAATTGATATATTCAAAAGTTATCGTGTTTACAAGCCTTGGGGACTTGATAAATCCACACCATAAGCCACTAAAACCCCTTTTTTTATTTAGAAATAGCAATTAATCAATTTAAAAAAGATATTAATAAGTTCAACAATCATTTATCTTTCTAACAATGTGTTTTTTATATAATTTACGAGTATATGTATAATATGATTGCTAGATACGATTTCATTCGATAAAACGTTGGAATCTTAGTTTTTAGGCGATAGTAGAACATATCTTGCTTCGCTTAAGGCATGTAATACAGGGTTATTTTGCAATAGAGAAGTAATTGAATGTTAAGCCGTAATAAAATTTGGTTAGCCACAAAAACAGCATTTAAATAATTAGGTTAGCATTTAAAGATTCTGTTTGCGATAAAAAAAGAAAACATTCGGCAATTCTTGTTTCCCAAATAATCTTGATAATGTTCAGTAGTTTAATCATAAATAGGCAGCTTACAATAATATGAGTTTGCCTAATAAACGGTCAATCCGCAAAATACTTGATCAGCAAGATTCTAGCTATATATACCGGTTCATAACTATCTTACTCAACTAATTTAGTGAAATAATTATAATTGTAAACTGAATGTACAGGAGGAACAAACGCGACATTGACATTCCTGTTGTGTTATTGCTCATGTTCCTTTTCTGACAGTAGGATAAGGTGCACCTGGGGTGGCACTTGGGCCACCCTAAAGCCCCGTACAGTATCTTTGTATATAAAAATTACGTGTCACGTTGTTTGTCCGCGATGAACTCCTAAACTACTGAACTGATTTCAATGAAATTTTGCACACTGTGCAGTTTGGTCCAACTTGAGAGATAGGATAGTTTTTATCCCGATAAGTGACCCTAATTTTTTTTATTGCTAATCTCAGGAGTTTTTTTTAGGAAAGCAAATGGTCGCCGAAAAGGGCAGAACAACGTCTGCCGTCAGCTAGTAACGATATAAAATGTAAAAATTTACAGCCGTCCAGAATGTCAAAAATTGCCAATTGTTTTTATAATGTTTGCTAGGAATGGTTTGCTGACCAATTATCTATTTCTGTTGCTAGATTACAACAAAATATTTAAAAAAAATTAAAACATTCAATGCTTTTTATCTTTTAAATTCAGAATGATTATCATTCTTAAATATCTACAAAAACTGCAATAACGCTATATCATAATCTATGTTTGAACTTAACCATAAAAACTTGATACACTTAGAAAAATAACCCTGTATATTATAATTTTAAGTTTGCTGCTGACCTTTCTAGCCGTGCCCTTTATAACACCGCGCTCCCAGGCTTCAGCTTAGTCAGCGTGTAGCCTTGGTATGGGCCGAAGCAAGCGCGGTTTGTAGGTGGTAGAGACATGCTGCAGCTATAGTTGTAGCACGAATGGGTCGGCTCGACCGGGGAAGGACCACGCTCTCACAGAATACCAGCGTCAAATAGCAGCTTAACACTGCTGTGTTTCGTATGGTGAGTGTAGAGAACCGGAGACCCTTTTTACTGGAAAAGAGTCATTCCATCTTAGTCCTCACGGGTGACAACGCATCTGCATTTTGATTCGCAAACGAGGATAGATGTAGATGTCTATGGGCCACAGGAACCACTTACCATCAGGTGGACTGTGTGCTCGTTTGCCACCCTATCCTATAAAAAAAAAAACAAGTTCTATGTGACTGAAATCATGTAGGCCTTGCAGTGTGGTTCATGTAAATCGCGATCATGGTCTTTATATGGACGAATTTGTTTCCGACACTATGTGAATTTCAGTACAGTGACAAAAAATGTCATGTGGATTCGATTCTTTTACGAGCCGTGAAGTTGTTGTATGAGACAACAGAAGGAAATTAAACAGTGGATAGGCAGCAGCATCTTCCTGATAACAATGAAAATAATAATAAAACTGTGGTTATCAAACCGCCTGCCAAGTTTGCAACTTTGGCAATCCATGAAGCAATCTATGGTGGAGCCCTAAGTTCAGCAGTGGACTTTTGATAGGCTATAAGAAAGTTGAAAGTACTAAAATAATAAAAATTAATGTGGGCACTATTTGATTTGCCTCGATTCTAAACTTATATTTGATAATTAATTGTAATTTGTAAGTTCGAATTTTTGTATTTAAATAAAACGTAACCGATGTTTCATAAAAAGTTTATTCATCATGCAATTAGTGTGAAATGTGGAGACACTCATTATTTTCTTGATATAATATGTGAGATAAATAATTTTTTCTAAGGTATCCACAGACAGAATTAAACTCTGTTTTGACGTCAATATGTAATTTGTTGGAATTTGGACTTTTAAGAATCGGATACATTAAGGGATACAAACATACATACTTCTAAATGGAAAATTTAAAAGGTTTAATTTGGTCCCCCTTGAAAATATTTTTGCATCTTGTCCACACCTTATAGTCATTACTAAAATACTTTGCGAGATCTGGTTAGTGGACCTGAGTGATAACTGAGGTACCACACTTAATAGAGCTGTAATTTTTATATATAGTCTGTAACTAATTACAGGATTCATTCGTCAATTGTCTCAGCTATTTGTTCCGCGTATTTCCAGCTTGGTCTCTCAGTAGACACGCGTCAAAAATTATGTTAAAAAGTGCTCTTCGTGCAATTAAATTTAATCTAAAATAGGTCTTTATTAACGTTAAAAAAAACCCAATCATTATAAATTTACAATCTGTTTCAGAGCTTACCTATTTTTTAATAAATAAACATAAGATAAGAAAATAGTGGTAATGATTAAAAAAAATATTGCTATATCCAAGTATTGGTTGTCGGTGGGAAAGGAACTCGTCAGCCATATGTATTAAAGATAATAAATAATTGAAATAACCTTGTATATTGCATATTATTATTTATTCAGGACTAAATTAATTACCAACTAAATTGTTTACACAAACAACATACAACACTGTGTACACTAAGCTAACATTTTAAAGCTGTCCTAGAGCAAAATAAATGCTTCATCCTTCAACATCCTATTCAACTTAGTTTGTAAACACCACTTTGGCAACTGAAAAACGAAACAAGTTTATTTTGTTTTGAAATTAATGATTTATACAAATATTTTTGCACATTATGTTTTATAAAGTATACTATAAATTAACAATAAACAATCCTGTATGATAAAATAATATCTCTGACCAAAATGTGTTTACTCGTACCTAACTTTACATCATTCAGATATACACTGGTTTATTGTTTTCCAATAGTGAATTTTGAGATGCCTTCAAGTAAGTTAATGTAAGCCGAATGTTCATAGGCAGTGCTGAAATCTGACAGTTTCTGAACAAACTCATTGCTGACTCCTTTCTCTTCTAATAGGTTCATCAAAAGGTCGTAGAGATACTAGAAGAAAAAAAACCCAATAATTAATAAAAATATGTATGACGATACTTAATGAACAAATATTTACAAATCTTATTTAGAAAGCTTGAATAAAATCTATGATTATTAAAAAAATATATAACTCTTACCATTATACAGAAAATACATAAATAGTTACTTAAAAATATTGGTTTTAAAGATTTTCTTATGATGTATTATAAAGATTGAATTTAATTTCATAATATATATAATATTGTTATGTATGTAAAAAATAATATAAAAAAAAATATCATGAATAATATTAGATCAGATCTGTGTCCCATGTCAGTGAATGAACCTCATACATATGAGAACCAACTTCACATTCATGAATTCTGTTTACCCCATTTTTGGCACTTGATAACTACATGTATTATAGAAACAAGTGTGGCGTAACAAATGGGGCTTGAAAAAGTCACTTTCATTTTTTCTCACAATAGATTTGAACTCTGGTCCTTCATACACTCTGCCCTATTACAAGGCCATTGGGCTATGTGGCTCACATGACTACTTAGTGAAAATATCAGTTATATTATGTCACTTACAGAAATTGAAAAAAACCCTAATACTAAAATGTATTTAGCAGTTCTGATACTAGAAAACTTAAGCCAAAACCGAAATGCGAATCTTTAGGCAGATTCATTTTAGCAGTACAAGAGTGAACCAAGATCTAATTTGTTCGAATTTTATAAAGTGACAGTCACAAAATGATGAAATGGTAAAAAAGACATAATGCAATTTTGTTTTTCGGTACAGTTTACAGTGTAGTGGCAGTGTAAGAATATCCACTATCACTTATCATCCTGTGGGTGTCATAACAGCCAACAAATCAGGAGATGTGTGTCTTCCTTATAACAATTAAAAAAAACTGTTTGCCAACGCCCTTACCAAGCATTTCAACTATGGCAAATATTCCTATCTATCTATGTGGCAATTTATGGGGGAGACCTATGTTCAGCAGTGGACTTTAATAGTCTTTAACAATAACAGTTGTTACAGTTTAAGATTGAAGTAGTAATATAGAAATAAAAATTAGTTTAAATCATGCTATAAAAGATTTCAATTTCGACTTGTAACCTGATCCGATACATTAACTGAAATCATACCAAATGTAATTAATCACTAATTATTATGGAGCAAAATGATTATTATATCATTATAAATAAAGATAACAGAACAACTGTTCAAAGTAAATTGTTTAGTTATGTGACTCCTCATTGTGATGCCAACAATATAATATAGACAAAATGTAGGTAAATTGTTTACCTACATTTTGTCAAAATAGTCCTTAAGTTCAGATAAATGGAAATTAATTAAGTCAAATACACACCCCATCAAGAACATCACCAGCTACAGCATACACTTTGTCCGACCACTCGCCCTTGTACAGCGTCACCTCGTCAATTCCGAAAATGTCGCCTGAAATTTTTGTAAACTTTAATTAGCAAATTTAAAAAAAAAAGAGGAGAAGTTGAGGATTTCTCTATAAGTTCAGTTGTCTTTATGTTATGCAATATCTTTGTCAATTGTGAAAAATTTTTAACAATCCTTTTTTATTAATTAGAAGATTTTACTTTGGGGGTGTTTAAGTATTACGTAACGAAATTTTTGAAGATTTTTGACCCCCCGCTGGATTCCCCGCAAAACATATACGAAAAGGATTGCCAACGTGGGTGATTTTAATTCCCCAGTTCTTTTATATAAATAAAAAAACAATGTGACGTAACGCGTTGTTCGAACCCCCCTCTCGCCCCTGTAACGTATCATAACGTTTTACAAGACCTCCCACCAAATTGCGTTAGGTAATACTTGAACGCACCCTTAGAAGTGGCCCCCATATAAATTTGGAAAAAAAATACCACCCTTAGGGTGAAAAAATAAGAGACTATACAGCATTCTAGTACATTGAACTTTGTGATATTGGCAGTCCACTGAAAAGAATAAAAAAAATAAACTTGTAATAGCAAGTGGTCAAATTAAAAATGTTGTACAACCAACTTCAATATAAATAAAATGAGAACATTATCAATGTAGTTGAAATCAATTAAATGCGCATTATTAAGGATAACTCAAAAACTACTGATTAGATCTTGATCTAATTTATATGGAACTACATGAGAAGCACCAGCTTTCGAATAAAAAATGGATCATCAAAATCAGTTCACCTAGAAAAAAGTTGTGAGGTCACACATAAAAAAATACAGTCGAATTGAGGATCTCCTCCTTTTCTTGAAGTCGGTTGAAAAAGTGAAAGCCGACTTCAAGGAACTAAAAAGAAAATAATTTCCATATAATATCAGCTTCTGAAGTCAAAGCTTTAATTCTTCCATACACTATGTCTTAGCACAGACCACTGAAGTTTAATTTACTATCAATATGAAATTGATTTTGTCAATTTAAATCAATGTCTACAAAAATACTACTCAAGTCTAAAATAATAATAATAATAATAATCTTTATTTGCAAGAATATGGTTGTACAATGGTGTTTGAGTATAATTCGTTCTACATATTCTACCTTAGTGGTGTGCAAATATTAATGGTCAAGTAACCTAAACAACAACACTTATCGAATTTAACAACATATATTAATTTAACAATACTTTAATAAATATAATGATACAATATTTCTTAGTCTATGCAATGCAAAAACGAAACGATCTATTTTAGTACATAAGCTTTCTATATGCGGCTTCCAACTACAAAATTCATCAAATATTATTCCTAGAAATGTCGTGGAAACAACTTCTTCAATATGTGCAATAGAATCCATTTTGTACATGGAAGAATTTTGCAGTTGTATTATAGTATATACAGAAAAAATATCTGCATTGACTCTTTATAATTGATGATAGATGTCCATGGATCACAGTATCCACTTATCATCAAGTAAGTGGACTGCCTACATCACCAAAAAAAATTGATCCATAGACAATTATTTTGAATAGGTTATTTTCTACTAAAAAATAAAAAAAAGCTTGTACATACTACATCATTAATTTTCTCGTTTACACTCAATTAATTGCAACTAATTTAAGTGTAAATATCTTTTCATGCAAGAACAAATACAACACATTGACGCCTGGCTTAGCAATGAGTTGCAGCACCGAGGGCCACGGGCTCGAATCCTGCACGGAACAAGTATTTATGTGGCCAACAAAATAATTGTTCCGGATCTGTATATTTGCCCTTGTGAAATTTATGTTTGTAAACAGCCTCTACAATGCAGGAGACAATTGTAGTGTAGGGGTAACATTTAAAAAATCATTTAAACGTTCAAATCAATTGACTGATGAAACTTACTGTACTCATCACCAGGTGTTGGTGGTTCCTGCAAGAAAGAGCAGGTAAATCCAAGAGTGCTGTCCCCACGAACCAGGTCAACTTCAAACTGTGGCTTAGAACGCATCTCTGTAAACTCTTGTTTGTCAGCTTGTACCTCGCCCTCACCAAAGTCTTCAGAATCAACTGTGTGGTTCACATTGAATGTGATTCTTACACTGGAATTTAGTAATGAATTGTTTTAGGACATTATGTACAATTTTTACAGCTACAATAATGAAAATATTGTTATAGTATTTTACTATTTTATACAAAAAATATGAAATAATATACCAACTAAAAAATTACGAAAATAAGTCAAGTATGACAAAATACTATAAATAAGTACTAAATATACCTAGAATAAGTAGAAAAAATTATATGCTCTGGTCACAGTGAGTGTAGTAAAATAAATTATTTGAATCAAAAGTTGTATTGAAGTCTATATGATTATTTATTAATTTGTGAGTGGATTGCATGTGGCATAATTTTGACATTTTTGCAATTTATGAAATTTTGGCAAATGATATAGTCATTTTTCATTGCCTTTTTTAAGGAATTGTGTTAAAATTTAGAAACGGAGTTTACGAGTTGTTAGTAGTTTCAATAAGGTGGTAGAGCCATGCTGCAGCTATATTAGAAGTATAGTTGTAGTACGAATGGGTCGGCTCGCCCGGGGAAGGACCACGCTCTCACAGAAAACCAGCGTAAAATAGCAGCTTAACGCTGCTGTGTTTCGTATGGTAAGTGTAGAGAACCGGAGACCCTTTTTACTGGCAAAGAGGCATTCCATCTTAGTCCTCACGGGTGACAACGCATCTGCATCTTGAGTCTTTATTGAGGATAGATGTAGATGTCTATGGGCTACAGCAACCACTTACCATCAGGTGGACTGTGTGCTCGTTTGTCACCCTATACTATAAAAACAAAAACAAAAACAAGGTGAGAATAGAATAGAATAGAATATTTTTTATTCAATATACATTACATGTGTAATTCTTATTGAAAGTAATTTTTTACTTTACCACTGGTTCGAAAAAACCCCTCTGTCCTGGGAAGAACCAGCAAGAAACCCAGCGGGACTTTTTTTTAAAAATAAATTTTACAATATAAATGATTACGAACTATTTACAAAATTTATTTTAGAAACTGCTTGGAAGCGACCACCTCATTCCCAGGGGTTATTATCAACCATGTATTCATTTATACTATAATAACCCTTTTTATACAGTTTCAGCTTAATAAAACATTTAAACTTGGTAATAGAGAGAACCTGTACACTTTCCGGGACCTTGTTGTAATAGCGTATACATTGCCCCAAGAATGAATTACTGACTCTGTGGAGTCGAGAAACTGGCATCACTAGCTTGTGTTTGTTCCTAGTGTTTACAGAATGTATATCACTTTTTTTACTAAAACTATCTTTGTTTTTGTGAACATACATTAAATTTTCGTAAATATACTGAGAGGCCAAAGTTAATATATTAATTTCTTTAAATTTATCTCTAAGAGACTCTCTCGGTTTAGAAATAAAGATTTGTATAATGTAATGGGGAATCTCCTGATTATGCACCTTACAGTGCACCTGCCTGCAAAATCTGGCAACTGTAGCAAACATCTATATAAATATAATGTAAAAAAGCATAGTACAATTTAAGGAACGTTTTTCAATTTAGGCTTATTTAAAAATCTAAGGAATGGCAAAATCGACACCTATTCACTAAAACGGGAGGAACTGCCAAAAATCTCTGGTCTTTTTCTATTTACTACAATTTCATTTATAAGTTATAACAAAATCAATAGAATGTCAAATGCATTATTTACCTTGTAGTGGCAGTGTAAGAATGGAAAGTTTCTACTAAACATTTTGCTGGCTTGTTTCCCTTTGTAGGGAATGGAATCTTCATCTTTATCAACTATGGCTCCACAGAGGCAATCACTAGGTAAGGCCTATGTTCAGCGGTGTACTTTTGATAGGTTGTGATTACAATGATGAATGTCAAATGTCTATAGATATTATACAATAAAGTAGCAACATATGTGTCAACAATATTAAAAAAAAACTTACATTTCATCTTTCAATTGCTTTGTAAGGACTACTTCTGCACCATCACCCTTAACTGTAAATCCTTCAACCTCAGTGGGGAGTGCCTTCACTTTCTGAGCTTTGCGCTCTGCCACTATCTCTTCAGTGAGGAACTCCACTAGTTCTCTCTCACCTGTATTGCCATAATTAAAAAAATATATTTATGTAGTTATTTATGCCCAACTGGATGAGAATACTATATAAATACCCCTACAATAATAATAAAAGCAACATAGAGTAAGTTTCCTCAAAGATAGATTGATGTAGAATACACACAAAAATAAAACTAGCTACAAATAGTTATAATAAACTACAAATACAACTACATAACTAATCTTACAATATTACTATGAATAGTAACCTCAAAATGTCTAATACCCTTATGCAGAAACAAAGAAAAATCTTATTTCTGGATGAAAATATTAATTTATTATACCCTGCAAGTGACACCAGAGTATTCATAATAAATACCCTAGTATAGTAGATTTTACAGGGATGTAATAGTTTTTTTTTAATAGTATAAGGGTGACAAACGAGCACATAATCCACCCAATGTAACTGGATGCTGTGGCCCATAGACATCTAGATTTATTGTCAATTAAGAATCCAAATGCAGATGCGTTGTTACCCCTGAAGACTGAGATGGAATGCCTCATTTCCAGTAAATAGGGTCTTCAGTTCTCTACACTCACCATACGAAACACATCAGCAATAATTTACGCTGGTATTCCATGAGAGTGTGGTCCTACCCTGGCCGAGCCGACCCATATGTGCTGCAACCACAAAATAGCTGCAGCATAGCTCTACCATGTAAGTTATTGATTATGTTTACAAAATTTATATTTATTTACATTAAATGGTTTATGTGAGGTCTGTGCCCTGCAGTAGAATGTAAATAGGCTGTAACCTTACTTTTATTTATTTTAGAGACTTATCATATCATACTTATCCTGGCATGATATGGATACCAATGGTAGATGTGGGTATGACTTTCCATTGACGTCAGTCGAGTTTGGTGTTGATACGTATTTTTACAGAAATATTACATTTTTATAAGCACACACACAAAGTTTCAATATGCGGAAACACGTACTTATTGAGAGAAAAATATTGTAAATCAAATAATTTTGCAATATATAGTCAATTCCTACCGTGAAACTGATGCCATTTTTATTATTATTGTCAGTAGGGATGTTGATTCTTTCCGAAAAAGATCGATTTTTTAAATAGATTCGAATTGTAAGCTGATGTATTGATTCCCAAGAAATCGATTTCTAAAATATCGATATTTTTTTCATGTTTGCATTTATAATGTAAATATAAAAAATAAGGGGACTGATTCAGAAGGATTTCTGTATCTATTTTGAGACTGCTACGTCTCCGGCGCTGCGGGAAGAGCAGCCTCTACACCTTAGCGTAACAAATTGCAGGCATCCCTCCTGCTCCCCCTACACGCCTCCGGCTCTATAAAACCACTCTAGGGGTAGGACAGACTCGTACCAGGTGGAGTCGGAGTCAATCAATTCGGTTCTTTGACATAAGTTGAACCTAACCTATTTTATTTGTTATCTGCCCTAATAGGTACTGTTAAATAAAACAAATTTCAATAAGAGATCATTTATCATGGTATCTTTCTTGTCTTTCATAAAATGGGTTTATATTTACATTATAAATAGAAACAAAAAAATATAGATATTTTAGAAATCGATTTTTTGTGAACCGATACATCAGCTTAAGATTTGAATCGATTTAAAAATCGACCTTTTTCGGAAAGAATCGACATCCCTATTGACGTCTACAATGACATTAGATAATGGCACCAGTTTTACAGTAGAATTAGATATAAAGATTGCAAGAATAATTGATTTTCAATAATTTTTTTCTCAAAAATTACGCGTTTCCGCATGTTGAAACATTGTGAGTGTGCTTATAATAGTGTAACTTTTAGATAAAAATACGTATCAACACCCAACTCGACGTCAATGGAAAGCTAAGCCTAGATGGGTTCCCTAGCTCATTTACTATAACTTCTGAGTCAGAAAAGAATTATCCATACAGTCACATAGGTCACAAGAGTTGATAATTAGTTATAGATGGATGATTTTATATGGTATATGGTGTAATATGTAATAACTTTTGGCAACTTGTAAATTAACCTATGTAAATGAGGATGGAGAACTTAAATTGAGTAAAAGGAAGGAAGAAGGTAGGAAGGATTAGGAACTTACCAAGAGGTTTGGATTTCGAATGCTCATTTTGTTGGTCTGTTAAAAAAAATGTGTTATTACGTAAGACAATTTTTACAATAAATTTCCTATTGTCTATTTAAAAAATGATCATATATATATGTATATATATAGTTTAACAAATATGGAATTACGGATGGTGTAACCACATAACCTAAAAATATTACTGCTAAACACAAAAAGTACCTTTTGTATGAAGTGCCTTTAGTCCGCAACCGCAACTGCAAGTATTAGAATGGTTGTGCAGCAAACTTGAAGTAGATTGGAGGCCATCTAAACGCTTGGAACAGGTCATATGCCATATTCCTCTAGTAAAATCACGTTTTACGGGAGCTTGTGTACGGGACACTAATGCGCTGGTTAAGCTTGTATTTTTGACACAACTTTGTATAACTCGCTGCGTAGTCTTAATTAAACCGTTCATTTTTATTTCTATTGATTTTAATAATAGATTATTTCAATAGTTCAAATAATGTCAAAAAGAACTTTAAGTTCTCGCCGGATTAAAAATTGAAAAAGAATCAAAATCAAAAAGAATGTGAATCATAGATAAATAAAGAAAATTAATTAAGATTTTTGGCTTGGATGCTTATTCTTTAAGTCGTCTTCATTTCATTCGGGATTTTCGTTTTTAGAATTAAAATTACAAAGTTGCCAGCACAGAGTACATAGCTTAGACTTAGAATCAGCATATTCTATAATATTATAATTCTATGGTACATCGTATACACAAGAAAGTGTATACATTGATATACAAAAAAGCTTTTAGTATATAAATGAGTGTATATAATATAATCTGTGGTTGCAAGCTTGACAATTAAAAAGCAACTGTCAGTAGTAGGCAACTGACCTTTATATATGTATAGTGCCACCAACTTATCTGTTCAGGTGGACAAAATTGGAACTAAAGCCGCCATTTTGTAAATGACATTTCGCTGTCAGTTATTATTTATTCTGAGCTATCAGGTGAGTATTTTTAAAAAGTGCAAATAAAATGCCTAAAGATCTTAAAAGTGATGCGGGACAGATTATCTTGAAAGTTTTATCTTTTATGGAAGGCGAGAAACGTTTACAAGCCCCAACTATACAATTTGAAAAGCTGTATGAACGCGTTGCTGCCGCGACAGGTTTGTATTGCCAGATATGGAAAATTAAAATCACCAAATAATTTATTGGGAAACATAGTAAAAAATTTATTTCAATCTACTGTAAAACTGTTGGTTAATCTTATGTTCCAACGCCCCAATTAATTGAAGATGCATTCCATAAAATTACACCGGTGTAGTGGAAAAACATTTGTAATCATATAAAAAACTTGAAAATGAATACAGACTAAAATACGCGTATTTAGATGAATTTATTATAGCGTGTCAGAGCGATATCGAAAGCGACTCCAGTGACTCAGAAGATGAATTATTGGAACCAGTAGCTAGCGCGGGTACATCTTTCAAAACACAAATTCCTAGAGTTCAGCCGCTTGAACTCCGAGGTCACGACCACAATTATTTTTATAAAATATAAATAATATATATAATAACACTAATTCTCACTAATTTTAATATATTAACAAGAAATTTGTTTTATTTTATATTATGTTTAATGAATATGTAGTCACCTATTTCCTCGGTGAATTTCTTAAATGGCAATAGTAAGCGCTCCACTAGCGACGCTGTCAACTGAACAGATAAGTTGGTGGCACTATACATTGTGACAAATTGACGCGATTTGATGGTCGCCGTTTTGGCATTGACACCAGAAACAGAAGTGAACGTCCACGGAACTAATAATAGAGATAAGACATTGCGTATGTTGGTTCATTCGCGAGGCTTAAATATTCAATAAGTTCTGGAAAATATTCAACTAAAGTAAGCAACCATACAATTTTGTAATAAATATCACATTATACCAAACGAACAGTAAAACATTCAAATAGATAAATCTAACAAAAAAAGTAATACTGGCATATATCAATAACAATAATTATACCACAGGACTATTTTTTGACCTATCTAAAACTATTAACCTAGTTTCACATGACCTATTGTTACAGAAGTTAGAAAAGATTGGGATTAGAGGACTTACACTTCAGTGGATATCATCATATCTATAATGGGCAACAATGTGTCATTATTACTAAAGCAGGTTGGTCATATTTGAACAGATTTAACAAATTGACAGTGTGTTGTAAACACAAAGTCATTATACGATGACCTTTCTGTACTTGTCTATGGCCTTTGATTATGGGGGAAAATGTAATAATAATAATAATATAATATCATTTATTCGCTAAACACGGTGCATTAAGGATGACAAATAGTTGACAATAGCTCACATGTTTACCACATTATTTTCATAAGTAAGCAAGTCAATAAATTTATATACTTAATAAGGAATTAAATTAAATTAAATTTATTAAAATTACAATTGTCGTGTCAATAATTATTGTTTTATAACTATAGTAAAATTATTTTGTCCGTGCAGTTGGGGTCATAAATCATAGCTCGGCCTCAGCCCGGCTAGGACGGTGAGCATGTTGTGCGGGCGCAACGCCGCGGCGGTGCGATATACAAAGGCTGGTGTGACATTGTTATGTTATGAGTCATTTGTTTTCCATTAAACTTTAAATTCTCCTACTGTCGCCGAATCATTGCTTAAACAAAATGTAAAGGCTTGTTCAAATACTTTTAAATTCCATAGAGTATTACCAAAAGTTATCGTTAAATATTTTAAAACTATTGATGTTAAGAAAACGGCAGAATTATGGGGGATTTCCGTTAAAGTTATTTTATCTATAATAGATATAATAGCACCTTATCTAGCCACTATATTTAATACAAGTGTCGAATCTGGTGTCTTTCCTGATTTAATGAAACATAGAAAAATTATACCTTTATTTAAATCTGGTAGTACATTAGACCCCGCCAATTTTAGACCAATTTCTGTACTACCAACATTAAGTAAAATTTTTGAAAAAATAATTTTAGATCAGATGTTAAGTTTCTTTAATATTAATAAATTGCTACATAAAAATCAATTCGGTTTTACAAGGGGTCGCTCGACAACAGACGCTGGAGTTGAGCTTATTAAACATATTTTTTGTGCATGGGAGAATTTAGAGGATGCTTTGGGTATATTTTGTGACCTTTCCAAGGCATTCGACTGTGTTCACCATGAGAAATTAATCAGGAAGCTACAGTACTATGGTGTCAAGAACACAGCGCTTAAACTTTTTATTTCATATTTAAGTAGTAGAAAGCAGAAGGTTATTACCAATGGTAAAAGTTCTTCCGGGTCACCTGTACTAATGGGTGTCCCTCAGGGCTCAATTCTCGGCCCATTCCTGTTTCTGGTGTATATTAATGACTTACCTTACCTTGTAGGGGACAGTCATGATATAGTATGATACTTCCTTGACTTTTAAACTTAAAGGTCAATCATTTAGATATGACGAAGTGAATAATGCTAAATTAATGCATTAAAAATTAGTGCATTGGTTTAACGTTAATAATCTACATATGAACGGAAAACTAATTGTGTTAAATTATAACAACGAATGTTAAAAATCTGAATACCAATGTGTTTTTATATGGGGAGGAACTGAGCCCTATTATATTCAATTATGTGCAAAACGTTCCTATATACCAATTAATAATAAATAAATATTGATTTTTAAAACAGTTAATTTAATTTTTACTCAACTAATCATTATTATTTTATATTAAAAATACTACAATATGGGATTATAATATGAGATCAAGGATCTCCATCCCATCTCCATACCTTTTATTAAAATATTCATTTTCCCACTACTCTGACAATATTCATTTTTATTGTGTGCGTTATAACTTTTTAAATTTGTTCACATTGATATGAACAAAAACTTGTGTGTGTACTTATGTACGCACGTAAGAAGTTATACTTCTTTAGCGTAACTAAAATAAAACACGTTTCATACATTAATATATATTTGAATAACTACCTCGAATATAGTTATCAGTTCTCACGAAAACTTAACAATTGTTAGACAATGGGTCTGGTCACCCAATTTTGTTAAGGATATCAAAAAATTGTAGAAAAAATTACGAATTCAACGGTATTCTTATTTTTTTTTTCTACCTTTAAAAATGACTAATATATTGATGAGTAAAGTGGTGTTTTACGGTAAGGGCGACCGCTTTGCTCCGCATCGCGATGTGACGTCACAAATCGACACGTCGAAGCCACCAGTAGTCTTTATTGTTATATTTTTCTTATTCTCTCCATATTTATAATTGTATGTTTATTCTGTAATAAAGTTTTTTTTTTCATCTAACACATATTGACTGTAAAGAGGTTTACCAACAATACATAATTAAATAAGATGTGCGTGCGACCAAAATATACCCACAACAGCAGGGATTGGCTGAAAAACGGTGCTGAGCATAATTCCCAGCGAATACTGAGCCTGTGCCCGTTGCCTCACATTATAATCGTAAACTGAGTAATATTAGTTAATCTGTTAATTGTGAATGTTCATTTTTTGATAAAAATTTTAAGTCTAATCATTTTTATGTGTATACTTACTTTGTAAACTTTTCATTTGTAAACTTTTTTCTTGACATGTTATTTATTTATCAGTAACCTTTATTTTCAGCTTTTTTTTTTATTTTCTGTTATATCACTCTCCGTAGGAATAAAAGTCCGATATGAGAAGATAACATCCTGTAGATGAAGTTATACCTTAATGTAAAACTTCATCAAAATCAGTTTAGTATTACACGAATTGAATGTTTGCGACTTATATCACGCTCCGTGGGTATAAAAGTCCGATATGAGAAGATAAAATCCTGTAGATGAAGTTACACCTTAATGCAAAATTTCATGAAAATCAGTTTAGTATTACAGGCATTAAATGTTTGCGACCATTGCATTTTCAATACAGAATAGGAACCAACTACCAACGTAATACCGCAATCAGTTTATTCAAAAGTAAGTCAAAGTGATCCCCTCCTATAACTAGATGTTTGCTCTATATTGTGTGGTCCACAGTTCATGTATTTAGTTGCTTTGTTTTTATCCACATTTTCACCTAATAACCGCTAATTCCTTTCCCACCGAAAAGCCTCAAGACAAGGTGTGACAGACCAAAGACCGCACATTGACAGAATTATTGTGACATAACCACAACACCAAGGGCCATATTGATAAAAAAAAGTTTAAGTAAAACTAGGACCATATGTTTGCAACCGCTGACGAACTATGTAACCAACAAAATTTCTTCACGTGTCACTAGGTACTAAATAACAGTAAGAGTTGATTAATACTCACTGCATTAGTAAGTTTAAGTAAGGTTTTTTCATTTTATGTCGTTGTAAATCATGTGTAACTTCGTGGTTCGGTCAGTTAATACCTACCTATGTATTACTGCCTAATTACTAATCAATG